AAAACATTTTCTATTAATGGACTCAACCAATAAACAGAACAAGTACAACTGTGTGACATATTTGCGAATCCATCTTGAAATAACAAGACAATCATGCAATGGGATAACACGAACGATAACAATTAGAATGGTTGAGTAGCTGACAGTGTATGTTGCTCGAGTATTACCTATGAGTATCTGCCCCAAAAAGAACACCATCTAAATCTAGCAGAATTTTTCGCACAAATCAAAGAAATTGTCCCTCAGATAGAACTGAAGGGAAAAAAAAAAGAAACATAACCGGAAAAAGAACAGAGCATTTTTGCTTTCTCACGAAATTAAGCCACCACAAAAACATAGACAAATGAACCCACTTCAAATACAAAACCAAGATAAAAAGCAAATTTGGATTGTTAAAAGAGTAGAAAGGGTACCAGTAATAACGTACAGTGAAAGTGTAAAGATGGAGACTATCCTTGCTTTTACTTCCGCCGCGAAGAGAAAGAAGAATCCAATCTTGCTGGCAGTGACATCGAACTACGTTTAACTCTACCAACAACAATAACACAATAACAGACATACATAAGAGAGTTGAATGAACTAAGGCATTACAACTACGTTTCTTATCTTGTACACCAATGTCCAATCATGACAACATCTGGAAGAAGACTATTTTTCGAGTACAAAAGCGAATAAAGTAACATATCGAGCAACACCACTCGGGAACATGATCCCACCACCACGAAAAGAGAACTATTTATGATTCCACCGAGTTCATACGCAATTGGAAGAAAAATAAAACTTGTTAGTTTTAACCAAATCATTTTTCCAGAAGTTACAGGAATATGAGATGGAAGATTAGTGAGAAAAGAAACATATAATTGTGCTAGCATTAGATGAATTTCAAAAATCTTGATATTAATCCATTGCTAATTATAGAACGCATACCATCAAGGCTTATGAAATGAATACCTCTACTTTCTGACTCCCAAACTCCACACAAGAAACTTCACAATTACTACACATGGCAACAACCATATTTTTTTATGAAGATACAATTTTGGCAAGTCAAAGCAATATTTCCAGCGAAAAGCTTATAGAATAAAATTCAACAATTGTGAGATAACTAATTAAAACAGAACAAGCTGACACCTTCTGCAGATCAAAACTCAGTATCTAGTCCATTAGAGTAGCCATTTTCCACAAAGTAAGAACAAAAACATAAAGTTACACAAAAACTGTAAATTTTTCAGTCACTTGACACTACACGAAGGTCTTCACAAGATCTTTCAACTGTTCAGTGTCGAAAAAAATTCCTCAATACATTAAGCTATCTAACAAGGTGTAGCTAACAGATTACACCAATTAACTCATCCAGTACTTTAGCACTTCAAGAGAGAATTCACCCAAAAATATTAAGAAGATAGAAAAATCAAATAAAATCCTTCTTTTTAGTTATATCATGGAACAAATCAAAATTATAAGAACGAAATAAAATTTCAGATAATATTCACACACCACAACAAAAGTATTACCTTTTTCTTCCTCATAATTTTTTTCAAGAGAAAAACTGAAATATTAAGCTATCTAATAAGATTGCTGCTAACAAATTGCACCAATTAAGTCATCTAATACTTTAGCACTGCAAGAGAAAATTCAGCCAACAGATATTTAAAAAAAAAACATAAAAACCCAAATAAAAACCCTTCCTTGCAGTCAACTCATGCAACAAAGCAAAACTGTCAATAACCCAATAAAATACCAAAAAACATTAAGTACCCAACAAGAGTATTCTCTTTTTCCTCCTCACAATCAATTGCGATAAACCACAGTTAAAAGAGACAAAAAATAATAAAATAAAAAGGATTAAAAAAGAAGGAAAAAGGTTACCAATTCTAACAACAGTGAGTCCAAAACAGAGTATTGTCCGCAAAGATCACAACTCAAACAAGTCTTATCCTGACGATTCACAGTAATCACACACAACTCACCTTGTTTCTCCGACTGTCTGAATTAAAGCATCATTATAGATAATCACTTCGCCATGTAACTGACTGGCGTCCAGCTGTGAGGATAATGGCCTCTGTCCTGAATTGCCGTCAAGGATCTGGACATGTATCCTTCTTCGTCGCTGCTGCTGCCGTAAAACACCGCCGAGTCTGAGTCTGCCTCTCTCTCTGTTGCTGGCTCGCCGCATAGCCAGCTCTCCCTCTAAAAAAGATCCAAAATTTTTATTGGCGTCACGAAATTGAAATTCCTTTCAACAAAACTTACATGAACAAACCTTTAAAATAATAGCATACTATAGTTTTTATGTTGAAGGCCGAAGCAATGTTTGAGGAACACAACCGCTTTTTTAGGTTGGCAAGAAACATAACAATACACAAAATTACAAATCTCAGTCAACACAATCGAATTTCAAGCACTGAAGTACATATAGCATACATAGTACAGTAAATAAGAAACCCTTGTGTAGATCCTATAGAGGCAGAAAAAGGGAAAGCAATCGACACCCAAAACCAATGTTCAACGTGATTCATAATGTAAAAATCAACATATGACGATATAACTAAAAAAACTTAAAAGTTCAAAAAATTTGAATAACAAAATTTACCAGGAGAAAAATCGCAGAAATAGCCGCTGACATCACCGACCTCCTTCCTCTTCAATTACATCTGATCAAAACCCTCCATGGCTTCCTGTTTTTTTTCCCCCCAAAATCAAACTCCAAAAAAAACCTAAACCAGTGCAAAACCCACAATCAGAAAAGAACAGCGGATGAGTAATAAAATCGGAAAAAGGAAAACAAACAGTGCTTTACCTTCAACCACGAGCTGCGAAAGCTGCAAGAAAAAAGTCAAGCTACTAAAATTGGAATCGAAAAAAAAAAAACACAACGAATCAACAACACCATAAAATAACTCATGGAACAACTTGACAGGCTCCAGATAGATTCACACGAACCAGTAGAGGAAGACATTCATCGGCATGAGGTCTCAGGACTGAGAACCCACCATGAGTGCTCGTGTCTGATGCAGTAATAGTCTTACAGAAAGAATGGACGTGAAAATTAGGTGGCGGTGCTGGAAGAGGTTCCCTTTTCACGGCATTTTCAAGGTATAAGTAGATATCAAATGAAGATAAGGTTGAAGAATTTAAATAATAATATTAATAATAAACACACAATTGATTTAGCTTACATTAGGTTCAGGCATCAAGGTAACTTGAGCAAACACCTCGTCAGTATGAGGTTCAGCCTGCCACATAAAAAATACAACAAAACTATTAAAAAAGCAGGTGAGAAACCCTCTTTGTGCTAAGATCCATATAAAAAAAGGGAAATACTACGGTCCCGTTACGGAACCATCCCGTCGGGAGTTAATTTATATCCATTGGATACACATGTAGTTAGTATAAGATATCTGCCACAGCGAAAATAAAACAAAACTGTTAAAAAAGCAGGTGAGAAACCCTTTTAGTGCTAATACCCATATAAAAATCTTCAGAAACGAAGAAACAATAACCAGAAGAAAAAAAAAAAGAAAAAAGAAAATGCACAAACACAGGTACCTTCAAATTAACATTCACCACTCGACACAGAATCTTGGGAGGAAGATTATAAACAGGCATCTGCTGTCTGCACTTTGGTTAGTAGATGCCTCCACCTATTCAACAAAAAATCATACACAAATCTGCAGCTAATTCACAAAACCATAAAAACAGAGAAAGAAAAAAGAAAATGACCATAAAACTCTCAATCCACGGAAAAGGAATAATCAAATTGTAACAAATTTCAGGAATAAATTTCAATGACGGGCCACTTGTCAGAAAAGCTACGTTGGGCTCAGTTATTGCTATAAAGCACAAAGGGAAACAAAATTAAGAAAAGTGTCGAAACACTAAGATCGATCAGAGCTTTGACAGATTCTCTATCTCTTTCACAACTTCAGAATTGAAAAATCTAAAAACATACATAAAATAAAAAATAAAAAATTAAAAAACGGACCTGTTCGATGTGTCCCTGGGGAAAATAGAAAACAAGCTCGTTCTCACGAGGTACGGTCACAAGAGGGCAAGATTCTTCCTCTTCGGCTCGCAGCGCCTTTGGTCGCTACGGCACGGCTGCTGACGGGTGGCGAGGGATGGGTTTCACGAAGATTTCTTATTTTCTCTCATTTTCTTTGGTGAGCAGAGAGGAGAGAGGGGAGAGTTGGGGGTCAAATGTTGCGTGGCTTGGGTAGTGGCGTGTGACAGACTCATTATCCCTCAAAAGGCAGTGAAAATGACCTCAACAAAATGACTCTTTTATCCTCAAAAGGCAGCAAAAGAGAGGCAAAAATGTAATGGTATTTCTGTCCAAAAAAGACACGTGTCAAGCATATAACTCCTTACATTTTTGCTTATATGTAAGGGGGAGATATTTTATGTCCATTTTTTTTTAAGCCCGCGGCGCTCCAGCCCAACGCGGGCTGGCTCGTATAGACCCGCCAGGCCCAACCGCATATTTGTGGGCGGGGTGAGCCGGCCCGCGGCGGGGCCTTTTTGACGGCTCTATTTGAGAGTCATCATTAAGTACCTGCATATATATTTGCACAGCTGATGAAAGGTAAAACAACTTTCAAATAATGACAATGAATCTTGTCTATTTAAATTGAAATGTTGTAATTAGCTCGTGTGACCTGCTTGAAAAAAGCAAGAACTGAATTCTCAACTGCTCAGCTCAGAGTTTTAATGTGATACAAGTTCGATTAATCACTTCCCTTATGCACGAGAATTCTTCTGTATTTATATTTCATTGTTCCTTCTCTTTGCTCAAAATTATTTTTCATTTTTCATCGAACCAGAACGATGTGCAGGCCAGTTCCTATCGGACACCGTGAGAATTGATCGAACATCCTCCAGGAGTTGACAACAGAAAGGACGCTGAGAAGTCACGTTTCAGCTGCATTGTCCCAAGAGGCAGAATTGACAGCTACATTGCCATTTATGGTAGCTGCAACATTTTCTTAATGCATATCATCCTAGGCTGTTTTCAATCTCTGCCGAAAAACCAAAAGAAAAGCAAAACAACAACAATAATGAGAGCAGATTAATCACACTTGCCTTTTCATTTTGCATTTTCTTCTCTATTTTTTTTAGTGGGGGAAAAATTACAAGCTCTATGACATTCACAGGTGATGTTGTGCCTTTTAGTTCGCATGTGTTCTAGAAAATGTCATACATGCCAAGGAACATTTTAAAGTGTCTGATAGACTAAAAACCTTTAGCAGTAAAATATACTCTCGATGAATTGATCGGTAAAAGGGTAAATCACGGAAATCCTTGACATCAAATTTCACAATGTCAGTAACTTGTATAGTTATTAAAATGGCTTTTACAATGAAGTGGAGCTGACTGTGAAGACTGACAATCACACCCGGGTTACAAAATACATTATTTCTTGACTATATGTATCTTGTTTATAAGGGTTACACGTCAATACTCCTAAATTACGCAATGAAAAGTTTTACAACGAGAAGCAGAAATTTTTACCTTTGCCCCAACAGGATTTTCATCTGAAGTCCTTTTTGAAAACATTGCTTTGTAGAGCGTTGCATCTCTCTTATTGCTCTCCATCTCTAGCTGTTTCAAATTTTTCTGCAGTAACTTCACCTCCCTACAAAAACAAAGCAATCACTATATGAAGTCTGGGATGGACTTTATATTTCTAAATGACTTAACATGTCGAAAAATTGAATTCCAAAATAATACCTCTCTTGGGGGTCTACTTCCAAAGCCTTCTTAATGTCAGCTTCAGCTGAAATTAATTCCGAGACCCCTATATAAGCTTGAGCCCTTCTGTACAGAGCTTTCACGTTGCAAGATTCTATGTCTAGGATCTAATAACACAACCAGGACAATAAACATGACAATTTCATTAAATCATTAGAATATAACAAAATTTAGGGTTCATAAGGAGAAACAAAAGTCAAGAAAAAGGTAAAAAAGAAAAGAATAATATTTAATGTCTGATTTTGCTTCACAGAAGACCCTGGCAAATGAGTGTAAAAAAAAGCAGCAAATGTCTAGCAATAATTTCAGATACAGATTCTATAGACAAATGTGGACTATTACAGTAGTTAGACTGAAGTTCCAGGACACATTTTGATAAAATTAGTTTCCTAATGATTCTTGATATCCCAAACAAATAAAAGGTTCCATGGCACAAGCGTTACACGATCCCGGAATAGTTATGATGAAATTAATGATACATAAATGTATTTCTTTCTTATATTATCCGACCAGCGTAAGATGAGCACTTGAGTAGTCCATAGCTATAGTTCTTACCTTCGAACAAAGACTGATTGTTTCGACAAAATTATTCTGTTTCAGGCAACAAGCTGCACAATTCAACCAGCATGAAACCCTCAGCGGTTTCAGAATTTTCTCATCCTCATCCGTGAAATTTCCATCTTGGCTGGCATAATCAACTGCCTGAAACCGAAAAAAATAAAAAATAGAGCATGTTGAAATCGAGGCAGCACATTTTATTCTTGTTAATAAAAGAAAAGAAATAGAAACATGAAACCTTCTCATATTTCTTTAGAGCTCTTTTGTACTTTCCGCTTTTAAAGAGTTGATTTCCTTCTTCCTTCATCCGGCCGGCTGTCTCAATCCTCTCTGGAGCACTCAACTCCCAAGGTGCTTTTTCCTGCTTAATAAAAGCGCAATAACAAAATGGTCGATAACCAAAGAAAAAAAAAGCACCATACTGACGGTTGGATTCTAGACATCATCTTCTTGAGTGGGGCATATTCATGGAAGGATAACAACAAAGAAAAAGAAAGATTACCCGGATAAAATCAAGCATTTGAACTTCGTATATAATTGTTGTAGATGGTTGAATCATGGGAAGATCTGGCGGCTTTACATCATTGCTCCCATATCCATATTCGGGTGATATAGTTACTAAAGCAAATTCGTTTTTCTTCATTGTACTTACTGCTCGATCAAGCCCAGCAATCACTTGTTCTACAGATGATTGAAAAAAAAAACAAAATTAAAGCTCATAAGTTTCCTTAACAGAGACCTTTATAACACATATTGGATGCCAGTGTGACCCAATGTGATGAATGAAGATAACAGCTTCAAGCATAATATTTTGCACTTCCTAATGACATATTTTCATAATTGAGTACTTGAGTCTTGAAGAAACAGTTGCTTCTGTAAGAAGCCAGCCTGTCATGAATCAAGAGAGAAACAAGGGAGAAGTTACACTTCGACCAAAGAGAAGTTACACTTCGACCAAAGAGAAGTGATCGGGATTTTGTCATGTTCTATCATCTCATAAATATGAGTCAGAAATCTATGGATTGTTCCTTTTGGATTTCCTTCTTGATCAATCACAACTGCTGCATTGTCATCATATCGTATTATCATACCGTTGTTACGTTTAAGTTCTTTACAGGTACGAACAAGTTTTCCACCAAGTCCATGCGCCCATTTTTGGGGTTTGGGGGAGTTTCTTCTAAAGGTAAAAAAAAATGTTCCCAAATTTTTGAAAAGAAAACAGAAGATAGTCTTATACTTGCCCCTTCGCAATAGAAACTGTTATCCCTTAAATTTATGGTGGAGTCACATCTCAACGTTTCTTTACAAAATTCGGAACTTGTTTGGGCTCTCTTCTTCTTTCTATAATTATCCCAAACCTCCAGGTGGTTATTGCAATTATCCCTTCTTTTTTTTTTTTGGCAATTATCCCTTCTTATTATTGAATTACTTAGAACATACCTACCTTCATCTGTGATGAACTGCAGAGGCTGCTCGCCATCAAAACCTTTCCTGTCAAACACGGTGCCATCCTCTAACATAGCCTTATACCTAACTGTAAATATATGGAGGAAAAATCATAACGTTGGGCAAACTCCGAATTCAACATTACAGAATTTCACTGCATAATTGTGTCGAATGAACACATGGAGAAAAAGTGAATACAAAAACAAAAAACAGACTATATATTAAGTACTTACTAGTAACTAGAGCACCATCATTTGCTGTGATATTGCCCTCACCCTCTTTTAGAACTTTCTTTGTTACCTTTAAATCACCGGTGATATCTACAACTGACTTAAATGAGAGTAGCTCCAGAAAAATGCTCACAACAGAATCAGGCGGGATAGAAGGAAAATCATCGATTGGCTTCCTACCCTCCTTCCCAAAAGCATCTGAACGAGTACATTTAATATTACAAAATTAATCGAAAGATCAGTTCTAAAAAAACAAAAGAGAGAGAGAGAGAGAGAGAGAGAGAGCTGATCAAGGAAAGTCTAGCAAGTTAAAATCAGCATGAATTAGTATCTGGATAATGAAAAGCTAAACAACATAAGCAAGAAGAATAAAAATAAGTAAGGTGGATTGGATTATCTTGTCTTAGGCCAACAACCATATGACAAAGATTGGACCTCACAATGGTCAATTAACCAAATCAAATCAATGAAGTCTGCTACAGGTATTGTAAATAATGAAACTAATTCACTGACGAATTACACAATTAATTACCAAAAGAATCAGCTTTGTGAAAAAAAAAAGAAAAAAAAAGGGAGCATATCTGGGAAGCCATTACAATTATCTTGTAGGATGTGCTAGCTTAGGCTTTAGTTTGCAACAGTTTAAAGTGAGTAACAATGGACAACTTAACCACTAGAAAGTTCCATAGGCAAAAGGATCTACAATAACAACCAATCTGGCAAAACTTAAAACTGAGCCACTGATTGCGAAAACGCCCAACACATAAACCTCGAGCTGGTCCAAATAATAAGAGATTTTATTTGTTTCATATCAACAGATTTCACTATTTACTGTAGGCAATTGTGTACTTTAACCTTTTCAAGGATGTTTTACCAAATCTTCTACTCCATTAAAACTAGATGGACTTGAATTAGATGACAAATCCACAGAACAGCATAAGATAGATGGCAAAGGTACTGTGTATATTTATATTTAATGAATAGAGCTTCCACATATGAATAACGAGAATCATAAGTCAACAGGTAGCAGGAACTATTTTCAATCACTTAAAATAAGAAAGTAGCAGGAACTATTTTCAATCACTTAAAATAAGAAAAAAAGATCTAGAAACTAAACTACATAAATCAGATGGAACATCAAATATAACAAACAAAATTAGGAAATCCATAAAAATTTAAATTTCTACGTCATATGGAAGTTTCCCATTTGCATCCCTAGTTACATCTTTTACCCAGAAAAAAATCGTGTCCAGAGAACATACACTGTGGCTGCACAATTAAATTGACTCTCTCCCCTCTCTTCATGGTCTTAACTGCTTTGGCCAATGCCGAACAAAAGTTGCCTGAAAGAGGGAAATTAGTTCAATCAAAGACTAGATTTCGGGAATTGAACTGCCACTGGGACAGGGGCATAAATACACTTCACTGGGCCTATATTACCGTCCTTAACATAAAACTCCACGCCCTCTTCTGGTGTTTTTGCAACAACTGTGTCGTCATATAGCATTGCCTTGTATTTAACTGAAACACAGTAAATGCCACAGAATCACAAAAAGAAAACATTGTAATTTTTTGTTTAATTTGAAACTTTTACCAAATAAACATACCTCGAACTTCGTCTAGGTCACCGGGAGGCCCAATCTGTTCTCCATTCTCAAGAACCCGTTTAACGATCCCACCATCCCTGAAGATATCGACCACTGTAATCCATGATAAGAGCTCAACTTCAAACTGAACAATGGAATTTGGGGGAACGCCTTTCATCCCTACTGCTCCATATGCTATTTCTGGAGGCAATGTGAACATTGAAATTTCTCCTTTGGTCATTGTAACAATTCCACGATCCAATCCATGAAGTATATCTCCTGAAAAACCCCCAAAAAAACTGAGTTCTCCAATGAAAAGAATAAGACAAAGAAATGAACAAGATGTTTTTTTGATATATAGGCAAATAAGAAAGTAGATATTATCTATCTCATTCATATACACAAACTGACAAACAATAACAAGTCATCTATGAATGGCATTCACACTAAATATCAGGTATACATTTTTCCAACCCAATCAAACTCAAAAGGGAGTTGAGAGAAGCTATCAAGCAATTTAGAGCTCACCATGTCCAACCTTGAGAGTAATCGGCTTGTTGCTATCTCTCGTTGACAGGAACTTGCTGCCGTCTAGCAAACTCGCCACGTAGTGAACTACACTTCAACATACAACACCAAAAAGAATAATCATAAAGTTGGAAGTACACACACACACACACACACAAACACAATAACTGCTAGGAAAAAATATGGCAATATTTGTCCTGAATGAAGCTCGTGATTTCAAATGACCACCAAATTAATACCTTGTAAAGATTCCCAGAGCAAATATCCCCCACACTCGATAATCTTAATTATTATCACATGTCGAAATAAACAATTGCACATTACACTATTACAGCAGAATCGAACAGCAAAATGAATGTATGTATCTATACCATTTTAAGCAATAAGCAC